ACAAGTGTTTACAAAGACTAAGGATTTCATTGAACGACTACTAGGATGACCACCAGGAACATTTCACCTCACCCACAGCTGACCTTATACAAGTAATAGTGACGAGATGCCATAACTCATAACTAAACACCGCAAGGCGCTGACTTTTACAGCTTTCCTTTAGACAAAGTTTTAAATTCCCGATTTCACTTCCTTATCACCGCTGCCAAACATTAATTTATTGTAAGGTTAAAAAGATACCAAATGGAACCTTACAGTAAACAATACGACCCTGATTATTAACAACAAAAAGGTGAAAATAGTATTTTGTCTCAAAGTTTTCAGTCTTAAGTTAACATAAGGCAGCTACCCTTTCTTTACCTCAAACAATGTCAAGGAAACCTTGTAAAATGATAACTTTAACTCGTTCATTTTGCCTCACAGGTCGTGTTCTCGCTGTTCTTAGTCTCTGCATCTGCTGCTCCTCACGGCTACATCATACCTCGTCCCACTGGCCCAGGATTTCCTACAGGGGGCTGCCCAAGCGGCCAAGTCCTTCATGTGGACGGCAGCTGCGTTTCCCCACGGGTGAATCGTCAGCTGTTTGTTTACAGTTCACCTCAAGTGCCCCAGTCATTTGGTCCACCACCAGTGATTCCTCCACCCACAGTGGATGAAAACATTGTCTTCATCCGCACTCCTGAACAACGTCCAGGTCCTGATCCTATCGTCGTGCCGCCGCCCAGGCAGAAAAACGTCTTGTACGTCCTCAACAAACAGACTCAACAAAGCCAGAAAGTCATCGAGGTTCCTGCACAGCCACCCACGAGTCCAGATGTGTTCTTCATCAACTATGAAGAGGGAGACAACCCGACCCTGCCTGGCGGTATTGACTTCCAGACTGCCCTCGGGTCGGCAGTCCAAAATGAAGGTCAGCTCCTCGGTGGCGATGGATTCGGTGGCACTGGATTCGGCTTCGGAAGTGGCACTGGATTCGGCTTTGGAGGTGGTGATGGATTCGGCTTTGGAGGTGGTGATGGATTCGGCAGCGGTGGCGGCACTGGAATCGGCTCCGGAAGTGGCGCTGGATTCGGTGGTGGTGGTGGTTATGGAGGCGGCGTTGGTGGAGGTGGTTATAGAGGCAACCGTGGAGGTGGAAGAAGCTTTACTGATGACTCTGGGGAGAATAGGCACAACGTACCCTCAACACTATACAGGTATTAGACGAGGGCCACCCACTTTACACACATTGTACTTGTCAATACACATCGCGTGAAGTGATACAATCTACGACATAACTCTTCTCAATATTACGGCTGAAATACCAAACAAATGAATATAATAGTTAACCATTCCACAAGTGTCCACTGCCTTCGTTACTCTCTGATGCTAAGTAACCTCTATAAAAGGCAGTCAAAAATAGGACAATTCTCAAGATTAACAAACACCTCTCTATAAATGTACTTATTTTTTTATTATGGTCATTTTCTTCTTAATAAAAAATATAACCATAAAAATTCAAGCATCAGTTTAATCCTTTCTTCTGTGATGTGAGTTATGTGAACAGGACGGTTGATAACTGTAAATCAAACTGCCAAGATCACAAGTGTCTGCCATATAAGTCACGAATTAACGGAAAGAACATAATACTGTAATATTATGGTCTTCCCGGTGCTGTTGGACACGATCAAGCATTATAAAGACTAAGAGGTACTAGTGCGCCGCGCCTGTGTGAGAATTACTTTATTCCTCACACTGAGTCACTGAGAGTCACGTACAGTATAGAGGTACTTGTGTTGCTTAATTTAGATGAATTTATTTTGCATCTAAATAGGTCATACTAAGTGGATTTGATTAGTTCCGTTTGTAAATGAACGAGTCACGTGGTGTATAGGTACTGAGACATTGTAAAGAACCCATTTTCCGGAGTGAAAAACATGTAGTAGCAGAAGTTGTGTTAGGTGACTCAAAAATGCTTTAAAATATTTCTGATAACGAGTGTTTGACCTGATGTTACGGGTCGGATATCCTGATAACTTCGGTACCCAGCTGTGTAGTGTCAAAGTTGGCAGGTGTTATTACTAAATTAATTTCACGTGCCCGTTATTCTTTGCTGTTTAAAACTCCCGCAAGTACAACAAATGATGAATTAAATATCTTCTGAGTGGATGCAAACCCTGCTCGCGAACTATTTCCATGGCATGGTAATTATGTTAGTAATGCCGTTATTTTAACTTATTGTTATCACCGTTGGAGACTGTCTCATGCCATCGAAATCTTTAACCACCGAAAAACCCTTAGTGTGTTATTATTGTGCAAACTGTTACAATGGCAAAGCTCGATCAATTTGGCTATATATACGTCAAATATTTGTGTGTGGACCTTGTCACATATTGATCAAAATTAAATTCACTGCAACTATACAGAGCCATTCTCCAGTTATTCCGGACACGAACACACAACCGTGGGAAATAAAAGTCGCAGGTCGTCACAAAGTATAATCCTTCTCATGAGTTCCCGTTAACGTACAGTACAGTATAAGTCACTATTTCTTTAAAGCTGTCGAGACAAGAGCATCATTACTAAGATAATGTACTGGGTGTCTTTGATACGTGGTTGGGTAAGTTGATCAGCGTCATCCAACAAAATGCTTCTAACATATACTTTAATTTTCACTGTTATTCAAAAAGCCTTAAAGTTTAGACTCGTGTAGACCACAAAAATTTATTAATTATCAGTAAAATCTAATAACACCATAAACTGACGCTTTATAACTACTGTTGTATATTGTTCGCTCCTGTACTTAATTAACAAAGATTCCGAAACTTTGTGGAATGAAGATAAAACATTAACGTGCGTTGGGAAGATATATACCGCATCTTCCCAACCTACATGAATCGGTAATTACATGTTTAAGTTCAGGAGATCAAAGTCAGCGCGGTACTCATTATAAGGTCTATATTCTGGACTCTTTATACACGTCCTTGTAACATATTCACACACAAACTTTGAAGTCATGATTGTCCCTTAGAAGAACCATATTCCACGACTACATACTAGGTGATAAAAATATAATATTACACTTAACATATAATTATAAAAATATATTAGAACAATAAATATTTCATTATAAAAATATATATTACAAAAAATATTTCATTATAAAATATATTCGTACAATAAACATTTCATTATAAAAATATGTTTGTACAATAAACTTTTCATAATAAAAATATATTATTACAATAAGCAATTCACTATAAAAATATATTTGTACAATAAACATTTCATTAATATGTTTCCTCTTCTTTCGACTTTTTTTTCACTTGTGGTTCAATCTGCAAATCTTTTCGCTGTTGATTATAATTCTATATATCTCCATTACTAGTGCCTTCATATTTTTGTTTGAGAGCTTAAGCTGTAAAACACGTTATCCATCACCAACTTTTATGTCTGCGGCGGAAATCTGATCGAAAATCCAATTTGTAATACTAAGTACCATAAATATGTATAAAGATCAATAAATATTATACGAGTGCAAATGTCCAAGACCATAAACAACTGTCGTCATGTGGTTCATATTCGTGTGTGTGTGTGTGGGTGTGTGTGGGTGTGTGTGGGTGGGTGGGTGGGTGGGTGGGTGGGGGTGACAACAACATTAAAACAATGATGTATACCCTAGTCTAGCCGCCTGAGGTTATAGTCCTTTCTCAGCATGACCAGCCTGGTGAAACATGCACTTTCTTCTTCAGTGGGTCGCTTGCACGAGAAAGGGAAGCGGACACGGTTTGAACTCTTTATAGAAATGGAATCTCATAATTTTTTGTATGTCTCTGTTAAGACCCAACTGCAATATGTTTCTGGAATTGAAGAACAAATGTTTTACCAGATAATATTAAGAGCTGACTTATTTGACGACTTTCAAGAATTGTTTAGTTTTCTCAGCTTCCATCAGCATTGTAACCTATTTATTAGGATATTGATACTATATTTCATGTCTTAAAAACATCAACTGCACTGTTAGATCTATACTACACACTTAGTTGTTAATTTTGAACAAGTCATGTTTGTGTTCTTGAGTAACATTTGTTAATTTACAAGATTAGTAGATTATTATTCACTTGGTAGCGTGTAAGTAAGTTAAGGTTATAAGCCAGTATGTGTGAACAGCTCTCTATTTTATATCCTAATTACTTCTTTATTTATTCTTATATTTTACATTACATAACCAAGGCGTAAGTACCTTAGGTTAGCAATAACTAGATATCCCGAGGTACTTTTTTTATTTATTTATCACCTGAAGGGGGGGGGGGGCGTAAATTGTATTTATGTCTGAAAATTTAACTGAAATCATTGACTGCATTTAATTTCAGATAATTATTTAAAAAAATGCTCTGATTAAATGGGACATAATAAATCAGGCGGACATGATGACTCAATAACACTGAGCAGGAAGAACCAACCGCTCCTACACCCACCTTGCTCACCACACATGATCTCTGGCTGTCAAAATAAGAACTTTAAATGTTTCGTAAACCTATTAGTCTTTCTCAACTCCTCCTTTTATGCCAACGACCTGGAGGAAGTCTTTTGTACCAAGAAGTGGAAAAACCACGAAGAAAAGTAAATGTTACTTCCATCCCACGAGAATAAAATATATTTTGTTTCTCGTAATACGTAACGAGAATGTGAGTAATATAATATTCCGTTCAGTGTGTACAGTGGGAGTGAGGTTGCCTACTGACACTCGAGAAATATATGAAATTAAGATATATGGTGACAAACTTTCCTTTGCTAAGTTCCCTGCCACTTCCTAAATCCATTCTAAATAAAAATTCTTTCCTATTATAATTTTTAATACTATATGTACCAGTAAATGCATAAAATGTGTTCTTGGTGTTTGACAATGACTGTGCTCAGGAGCTGCCCCCTTTTTGCGTAAGCGCCAGTATGTGGGAGGGGCAAAGGCCGATGTGAAAGAGGAAGAGTGGTGGAAGTACAGTATATAAGACGCTGGACAACCGGTACAGACATGACACTCCACCATGAAGCTCCTGGTGAGTTCGGTCTTCACTTTGGTTGTCTTGTGCAGTCGGGAAAACCTTCACACTCAGCGGATTTCTACTCTTTATCAAAGCAGCTACATGATTTACTGAATATGCGGTTTTACTCTTCATGGTTAAGCTTACTGACCATGGTGACTAGAATTCTTGGAATTGTGTTCAATATAGCGGAAGTTATCGTAGTGCTAGCAAGACCGAGAGACTTGATTTATAAAAAGCAACATTTGTTCTACCCATATTTTTTTTTATCAACATATTACAATAACATATGGACACATGGGACAAAAAAAACGTACTTATCGGTGCCCACTTCACATCACTTGTGAAAATTTTCTCGGGATACAATGTGAGTAGAGTTGAATTCTGATTAGCTACAGAAATAACAATAAGAAGAATGACTAAAATATAAAATAATATCCTTGACCGCATACACTTCTTTTCTCAACAACGAAATTTACTGAGACAGTCCACGTTTACTTCCAGATTCACGGGTCATTCATATCTAACATCGGTGAAAAGCCACACGTCACTGGTGTCCTTGATACACACAACTGATGAAAAGATGGAGACAACCTGTAGACAGTTCGCTGTGTAGTCTAATATGAGGAAGCAGTTTTATGCTTCCTATATTTGTTTCTATCAGTACAGTACCATCGTTTCTCACAGTTATCAGGACTGTGTTTGAAACTATTAAGAAAATACGAAAAACTTTTTTTTCATTATATCTTGTATCTGAAAATGTGTTCAACCGGGTGTCGTGCACGCGCCTGCTATCAAGTCATCTTCAACAAGGCTGCGGTACATGTTTCCAGTGCTTGAAGCCGCGGGCCGCAACAAGAAAAAGAGTTCAATCGAGTAATACCCAAACGTCAAACTTTATTATCATTCATAATGATGACAAACCACCGCTCTGATTCCTCGGGCACTTCCATTTAAATATCAAACAGCATTTCTAAACTCAAAAGAACTCATACCAACATATCGTTAGCGCTATGAATGTGTCAAACTACCAGTTGGTATATGAGGCTGAAACTTTAAATTCATGTAAACCAGCAAAGATCCAATAATTTTATATATATTATTCTATCGCAACCTGTTACAAACTGTATTTACTAATCAGTAAACCTTCTACACACAAAGTAATGTAATGTTTCTGAAAAAAATAATTATGGACACAGCAACTAAATGGCCATCTCTTAGTGAGGTTCATATTTCAGTCCATGATATCAGTAACCATTATTTCTATTGTCTTCAACTGTTTTCTGGAGGAACTGACAGTATGAACAGCATTATTTAACATCATTTTATTTTAGTAAGTATTGATCTATTGAGGAAACTGCAAGACAGGTAAACAGACCTTATGAAAAATTGTACAATATTATTATCTTTTTAACAGCAAAAGAATTCTACTACTTACATGAAACATTTTGAATAATATCGTTCAACAAGTGTTTACAAAGACTAAGGATTTCATTAAACGACTACTAGGATGACCACCAGGAACATTTCACCTCACCCACAGCTGACCTTATACAAGTAATAGTGACGAGATGCCATAATTCATAACTAAACACCGCAAGGCGCTGACTTTTACAGCTTTCCTTTAGACAAAGTTTTAAATTCCCGATTTCACTTCCTTATCACCGATGCCAAACATTAATTTATTGTAAGGTTAAAAAGATACCAAATGGAACCTTACAGTAAACAATGCGACCCTGATTATTAACAACAAAAAGGTGAAAATAGTATTTTGTCTCAAAGTTTTCAGTCTTAAGTTAACATAAGGCAGCTACCCTTTCTTTACCTCAAACAATGTTAAAGAAACCTTGTAAAATGATAACTTTAACTCGTTCATTTTGCCTCACAGGTCGTGTTCTCGCTGTTCTTAGTCTCTGCATCTGCTGCTCCTCAGGGCTACAACATACCTCGTCCCACTGGCCCAGGATTTCCTGCAGGGGGCTGCCCAGGCGGCCAAGTCCTTCATGTGGACGGCAGCTGCGTTTCCCCACGGGTGAATCGTCAGCTGTTTGTTTACAGTTCACCTCAAGTGCCCCAGTCATTTGGTCCACCACCAGTGATTCCTCCACCCACAGTGGATGAAAACATTGTCTTCATCCGCACTCCTGAACAAGGTCCAGGTCTTGATCCTATCGTCTTGCCGCCGCCCAGGCAGAAAAACGTCTTGTACGTCCTCAACAAACAGACTCAACAAAGCCAGAAAGTCATCGAGGTTCCTGCACAGCCACCCACGAGTCCAGATGTGTTCTTCATCAACTATGAAGAGGGAGACAACCCGACCCTGCCTGGCGGTATTGACTTCCAGACTGCCCTCGAGTCGGCAGTCCAAAATGAAGGTCAGCTCATCGGTGGCGCTGGAGGTGGCGTTGGATTCGGCTCCGGAGGTGGCGTTGGATTTGGCTCCGGAGGTGGTGCTGGATTCGGCTCCGAAGGTGGCGCTGGATTCGGCTCCGGAGGTGGCGCTGGATTCGGCTCCGGAGGTGGCGCTGGATTCGGCTCCGGAGGTGGCGCTGGTGGAGTCAACGGTCTCATAGGAGGAAGTGGAGGTGGTTATAGAGGCAACGTTGGAGGTGTTAGGTCTGGTGGTGGAAGAACTGGTGGTGGTTACCGTCCTCCCTCCAACACACTATACACCAGGCCTTAGACGAGAGCCACCTACTTTATGACTCGACTTAACTCGCAATGTACCTGTTAATACACATCATCGCTACATGATCTAGTCTACAACATAACTCCTATCAATATTATAGCTCAATTGCCAAACATTTCCACTATTATTCGAGGTTTATTACTTTCAGGTGTTTAATTAACTCATGAAATGCAATAAAAATAGGATAATTCTAAAGACTAACAAACAATGTACCAATTTTTTACAGTGATTTTTTCGGTCCTTATGAAAAGTTAATCAAAAATATTCAAGTTTTAGTTTAATCCTGTCTTTCTGTTTTTTATCGTCAATATGTGAAAAAATATTTATCTTTAAATCTGACAAAACTTTCAAGGCACATCATTGAGTGTTTAATCTAATGAGAATCGTAAACAAGGAAATGAAACAAAATACTCATGGGTGTCAGTAGTTGTTTCTGAAATTAGGCACATAGTTGAACAGCAGATAAACACATCCACTTACAAATAAACTGATTATTACTATTCTGCCGTCCATACAAGACAAAGTCACTCTTCAGCCGTCACCGACATCCAGTAATAATTCGCCCCACTATGAAATAACATTGTACATTAGATTAATATAATTTTAACGGTGTATAATTACGAAATAAAGAAGATAGACCAACTAGGATATTTCCCCCCTCCACAGTGTATTATCAGATCTTTGGTGAAAATAATGTATTGTATTTTGAGATGTAAATATGTGTGTAGTATAACCATTACGATAAAGAGGATACAGAAAACGTGTATCAGGGTAACGCCTCTTCTTCATCTTGGCAGAACCATGACCCAACGACAGGTAGATGAATGTTACAGACAAGATATATATATTGTTTTCTAATCTCAAGACACACGGGGAATTAAGTGGCATGAGGTGCTTCTACCTTCTCAAAAGTAATTTCAATAATGCCACAAAGTTTTTACCTTTATTCCACAAAGTTTTACCTTTATTCCACAAAGTTTCAATGTTAATCAAGTATAGCACCAGTCATTATGGAGGTAATCAACTTATTCAAACTCGTATCAGACGCACAAAGTTACGGCCCAAGTTAATTTGTGACTGCCACATGTGAATGTTAATTAATTTCCGTACACATGTGGAACTTAAACAGCAAGGAACGATGAACACAGGTAGGTAATTGATTGTGGTAATTACATCCCTGACGACATAACAACTTAGGTCATATGCCGTTAATTGACCCAGTGCCAACACCTTATATAATGTCGTGGAGTATCATTGAGCCAGCTATAACATTCCATAGAATACTCCAGGTTACGGCTGGGTACGTTATCAGGATATCCGGCCCGTAACATCAGGTCAAACACTGTTGGTGACACTAAAGCTATAAGCGGATTTTTTCCCCCCATTGGGTCAAGACTCGTAATACCTCCTTGTCTGTTCTACAATAAAATCAGATCTGATGACTTGTGATAATTTGAGGCGTTAGGTCCATGCAAGTGTTCCTTCACTAACACATTAAACTAACATAAGAAATAATCAAAGAATATATGATTGTCGCCATATGACTCAACCTTACGCGGATCGGTTATAAAATCGTTAAGTTATCCTTCTGTTCTCCCCGGCCATAAGAAGTGATTAGCGTTATATTCTTGGCTTAATGTACAGGTATATTTTGTATAAGTATATCTTTTGGTTAAATATGTCCTTGCTATTAAATAAATGTATCCCTGTATCTAAGAACTATTGGAGGTGACCTGGTGTAAAGAAAAAAAGTTATTGAAAAAAAATAAAATGTTTTAACTAAATAAACCAAGTTTGTTTGTTTTAATGTTTTCTTTGAATTATTTTGAGCCTTGACACAAACAATTCCATTTAGACTTTATAACTTCAATGAAGAGATGTGCAGTACAGTATACATTTCGGCTGTTTTGCTTACGATTGGAATGTTTGCAATATACAGTATGATCGTGTCTTAATACAGCCTCATACAGAATAGTTTAGTGGAACTTTCAGCATTATTAATAATTTTTCATAGAATTCCCCTTTGAGTCGCTCAAAATATATCAGCACAATGCGCAAAATTCATAATTTATTCAATACTTGAAAAAGCTTTGGGGTGACTCAAAAGGGAATTCAATGATAACATAATGATGATATACAGTCATTAAACTACAGTAGTTGGATTACGTTGTGTTAAGACACGACCATACTGTATACTGCAAACATTTCAAGTCAGCAGAAAACCAGGTCCTTAGATATGCACATGCAGGTTAAATACATTGTCGTGAAATATAAACTTTGAAAAAGCTAATACAATAAAACTAATGTAACAAAACAAAGCAAAAAAACAACTAGTTTAAGCCAATCCGCTCTGGAGGTAACAAATAAGGGCAGACACTTCCTTATGGAGAACCCTGGAACCTCCACCAACTCTACTCTATTAAAAGAATACATGTTCACCCCGGTAACAACCTCGGGATGTCCTCAGCAGAGACACAAGTACCTGGCCCTAGACACCTCACTATTGGCTAGGACACAAGACAACTCAAAGGTAAGAAATAAGCTGCAACACTTGATAAAACATACAAACACTTAACCCTAATACCTACGACGAAACTTAGATGAAACACAAACACGAGACAACAGAAGCACTTGGGTCCAGTCCACCTCCCGTACCACTAATCAACGCACCAGCGAAACAATATCTCTGCACACTTCACTCATTGATTCGTCACTCCCTTGACCCTGCACAACTACCTCGTTACTCACTACAGATAATTGATTGTAAGATGAATACTGTACTGTAAATATTATGACAACTTCATTAAATGTGCACCATTCCTTCTTCAATTAACAACTGCAATAAGCGGTTGTACCAAGAAGTTTATTCACAACAGAAAATAATGTTGGTTCCCTCCCATCTAAGAAAATGAATTTATTTGCTCTTCACGCACGCAGAGTGAATGTGGACACTGTGACGGAGAGTATGCAGTGCGAGAGAAAGGTAGTTAATTGTTCCTAACATAATATATATAAACCTGAGTATATTAGTGTTATAGGAAGAACCCTTTTTTGCATAACCATCAGAATGTGGGAGGGGCAGAAGCTGAAGTGAAAGAGTGAGAGTGAGAGAAGTACAGTATATAAGGCGCTGATCAACCGGTACAGACATGACACTCCATTATGAAGCTCCTGGTGAGTTCTTTCTCCACTTTGGTTGTCTTGTACAGTCGTTAAAACCACACTCAGCAGATTTCTTACTGAATATGCGCTTGTACTCACCACGGTTAAGCTTACTGACCATGGTGAACACAAGTCTTGGAATTGTGTTGTATATAGCGGAAGTCACCGTCTTGTAGCAAGCAGGACTGGGAGTCTTAATTTATAAAAAGCAGCATTGGTCTTACCCATGCAATTCTATTTTGGTTCCATTCATATTAAACTAATATATATCGACACATGACACAGAGATAGTTTTCGACGTTTATTTCTCAACACGTGAACATGTACTCTAGGTGCAGTAGTTAAAATACTGTACTTAGAAAATTCATAAAATTATCCTTGTCCAAATATTATACCTTTCACAAACACGATATATATATATATATATATATATATATATATATATATATATATATATATATATATATATATATATATATATATATATATATATATATATATATATATATATATATATATATATATATAGAAGTGCCCGAGGAATCAAGGATGCATTAATATCATTATATGAAAACGCGATCCGGTGCTCGCGTCTGTCAGCGCGACAATTTCAGTAATACATTGTTAAATCATACACCAAGAGGCCGCGAGGCGCCGAGAATAGTTATATGTTATAGCGAAATTACTTTTACTGTCATCTACAGGTCTAGACTTGTGTTCTTCATAATGATATCAATGCATCCTTGATTCCTCGGGCACTTCTATTTAAATACTAAACAACATTTTTTTTTTTTATTTAAGAAAATTAATACCACCATATCGTTGGCGCTACGAATGTGTCAAACTGATCATCAGTTGGTATCTGAGGCTTTTACTCAAACCAGCAACGATCCAGTTGGTTTATATTTATTATTATGCAGCAACATGTTACCCTGAGCTATTGTCAAAAAATTTATTATTGTATATCAAATTTGGTATATTTACACCTTACTTTTTCTGTAGGAAATGACGGAATGAGCCTCATCATTTCACAATGTTATACTTCAATAAATTATTAAAACTTTAAGGAAAGACCATCAGAGTTAATAAGAAGAGTCCTAAAAAGCTATATTTTTTTATTAAACAGGATGAACACATTTACTTCTAACAACATGAAACATTTTGAATAATATCGTTCAACAAGTGTTTACAAAGACTAAGGATTTCATTAAACGTCTACTAGGATGACCACCAGTAACATTTCACCTCACCCACAGCTGACCTTATACAAGTAATAGTGACGAGATGCCATAATTCATAACTAAACACCGCAAGGCGCTGACTTTTATAGTTTTCCTCTAGACAAAGTTTTAAATCCCCAAAATCACTTCCTTATCACCGATGCCAAACATTAATTCATCGTAAGATTAAAAAGATACCAAATTGAACCTTACAGTAAACAATACGACCCTGATTATTAACAACAAAAAGGTGAAAATAGTATTTTGTCTCAAAGTTTTCAGTCTTAAGTTAACATAAGGCAGCTACCCTTTCTTTACCTCAAACAATGTTAAGGAAACCTTGTAAAATTTTGCCTCACAGGTCGTGTTCTCGCTGCTCTTCGTCACGGCATCTGCTGGTCCTCAGGGCTACAACATACCTCCTCCCTCTGGCCCAGGACTTCCTCCAGGGGCCTGCGCAGACGGTCAAGTCCTTCTTGTCGACGGCAGCTGCGTTTACCCTAAAGTCACACGTCAGCTGTTTCTTTTCACGGCTCCAGAAGAGCCAGTGTTATTTGGTCCACCACCAGTGATTCCTCCACCTACTGTAGAGGAAAACATTTTCTTCATCCGCACTCCTGAACAAGGTCCAGGTCCTGATCCTATCGTCGTGCCGCCGCCCAGGCAGAAAAACGTCTTGTACGTCCTCAACAAACAGACTCAACAAAGCCAGAAAGTCATCGAGGTTCCTGCACAGCCACCCACGAGTCCAGATGTGTTCTTCATCAACTATGAAGAGGGAGACAACCCGACCCTGCCTGGCGGTATTGACTTCCAGACTGTCCTCGACTCGGCAGTCCAAAATGAAGGTCAGCTCATCGGTGGCGCTGGAGACACCAGTGGTGGTAATGGATTCGGCGTCGGAGGTGGTGGTGGTGACGGCGGCTTTGTTGACTTTGGTGTTAATGGTGGCGGTGGAGTCAACGGTCTCATAGGAGGTGGTGGTGGTTATAGAGGCAACGTTGGAGGTACTAGGCCTGGTGTGGGAGGAGGCAGTGGTGGGCTTATTGGCTTTACTGATAACTTTGGCGAGGACGTTGGTAACAATGGCGGTGGTGGAGGCACTGGTGGTGGTTACAGACCTCTCTCCAATTACTTCAGCACATCCTCCACATACAACAGGTCTTAGAAGAGGGCCATCCCCTTTTTTTTCAAGGTTTCTTGCCTTGACTCATACTGCATTTGTCCTCCTCACATTATCGTTTCTTCCATCTT